GCAACAAATCTAGCAATTAAAGAGGTTTTGCACATGGGTAATTTCATAATCTATTTCTTTTTCTTTTGATTAAGAACTCGACTTTCTTTTCCATCTCAATTTCCTTCTTTATTTCAATTTCAATTTCCTTTTCTTTTTTAAGAGATTTCATTTTTCTTTCATTTTTGATTTCTCACGGTTGAAACCGGCATCGGCATCGCAAAAGCAAGCCTCGATGAGCAAACTAGATCTGTAATTGTGACTCCACATCAGATCTACTATGAAGAAGATTCAGATCTGCTTTTTGAAAATGGCGATGAAGCAGCAATGGTCGGGGGGTGAAGTTTGATGAAATCCAGGTGATGGTGATGTTAATGGTGGAGGAGGATGGAGATGGATGGAGCACGGTAGATCTGAAGGATAATTAGTTTTCTATTTCTTTATTTTTAAACGGAATACAACAAAAGTGCAAATGGTAGGGGCATATATGGAAAGTCAAAGTAAATTTTATACTTCCTTAAAAATGAGTACCGGTCAAACCGGGAAATTAAATATAGGACGGAGGGAGTATATCAATAAGAATTTGTTTGGGAGAATTTTTAATTTAGAAAGTAGGGGTTTTGCTAATAATTTTCCCGCAACCTACCTTTTGTTTTCCCTCCCTGTTCGAAATTTTCAGTACTCCGCCATCTTTAAAGACATGATAACATTGAGGAATGATCGCAAATCTCAAATTTTTGGCTTCCGCGCAGCATTTTCTCAATGGTCGGATGCGAAAACGAGGTTGCCAAGACTATTTGCTCAATTTGCTTTGAAGATCTTAAACCAATCGTTGAAGATCTCCAGTCGATCGCAGTTTGCGGACACGTTTTTCACGAACTCTGGTAAAATCTTTCGCACCACCATCTTTAACTTGCCTGGGAAATGAAATGTAATGATCTTACATCTGATTTTTAACGACATTGATTTCGGAGTGGAGAATGAGACAATTAGGGTTTATGCTGTTTATTGACCCTTTGGGTGGTTATGCCATTTCTGCATGAAATTAAGCATTTTGTGTTTGGGATTCGTTTCTCTTTAAACTTTTTTCATTCCCGTGCAATTATGTTCTATTCTTTTTGAGAATATGCATATGTAGTTGTTCGAATATTCATGATAACAATAAATTTATTAGTCTTCAGCAATGGTTTGAGTATTGCACAAAAGGAAAGAACACTTGCCCAGTATGCAAACAGGCATGTAAGGCGAAGGATGCGAGCCGGCTTTATTTTCAGTCTGTTGGTGATATAAATGAAACCAGCCTCTCCCAGAATTCTCTTCACAGTGAGAAGAATAGAGAAGAGTTGCAGAGAGAGGTTAGGATATTAGAAGGGAGAGTTTCCAAACTGAGCTCTGTTCTGGATCAGCACCAGAAAGAACTCAAAGATGTCACTGAGGAGGTATGTTATCCTATTATTTTCTGTTTGAATGTCTCAAAAGAATGATATAGCTAATATGTTGTACCTGAGAGTCGATAAAGCTATGAAATTCGCTAACGTGTGTAAGACATTTGTATGGTATTGTAGGTTAGAGCTGTCTAAAAAATGCTTTCAGAAAAAAATAATTGTACAGCTTTGTTTTGCTGAAATGACAACAACAACCACAACAACAACAACAAAGCCTTATCCCACTAGGTGACATATAAAAAAGGAAATTTGCTTAAGGTTCATCTGCATTATTGGACTTTAATATATTATAGTGGCCATGCAAGGAATAGCTGGATCTTCATTTCCTGTCTCATGGCAATATTTAGTGTTCCCATTTTACGAACTTGTACATGGAGCATTATTCGTTCTGTAAATGAAAGATAACTTCATTTTCCACATGAAGAAAAACACTCTTGATCTCAGAAATCATTTAAAAAATGCAAATCCTACCAAATCCACTGATATTCATGTTAATCACATACAATTAAAGTGGTGGTACTTTCTCAATATTTTTTTGGCTTATTTGATAACTTTGGATGTAAATTTTGGTTTACCCCCTTTGGATACCGGACTTGCTCGAAAATGGAAATAGCAGTTCATATGAGAGACATTTTAAGCATTGATTAGAACATGGATATTAAGATAAAAAATCTTAGAATCCTAAGAGAGTTCTTCAAAATTAGATTTATTGGTTTTTCTATGAATTCTCTGATTCTTGAGGCCATTGTTTCCCCTCTTCAAATGGTTTTCTTATGTCTGCAACTTTTTTTAGCTGTTGAAATCTAAGGATCAAGTTAAGGTTGAAGTTACACTGAAAAATGAGGCTTTGAAGCAGAATGCTGCGGCTCAGAACTTGCTTTATGTTAAATCTAAGGTACTCATTTCATGTATTGTCAGTCATAGCGAATATTTGAACTGATCTGGACTGAATATGCTTTTGCATACAACTACTTTAGTATTTATAAATCCTTATCCCTTGAGACAATTTGGTTTGCAGGACCTGGAAATATCAACTTCAGAATGCACAAAGCTAAAGGAAAGAAATCTTTCACTGGCCAAGGAACTCGCATCACTTAAGTTGTAGGTGACTTTTCTTTGTGGCAAGCAAATAGTAGCATCCTTAAGTCAACTTTTCGATATGGGATTAATTTTTTATGGTTTAACATGTAGGGTCTGTGATCTAAATCTGGAGGAAGAAGAAGTCCTAAAGTTGGCTACATTAGGAAATGGGCCCAACAGTAAACAGACAGTTGATGTCTTGAAAAGATCATTAGTCATCCGGAACAAGTAAGACACCCCTTTTAAGACATGACAAGACATCCCAGATTCCCAGTTTCATGTTACATCTTTTAGATTCTCTTATATGTAGATTGTGGAAGGGAAAGACATTAGTATTTAGTATCATACATGCAGAAATTCCTACGAAATATACAAATTGCTATTACAGCCTCACTCTTTAATGATATGTTGAAGATTATATTTGTGGTTTAGTGGTATAAAAAAGTTACTGATTTGTGGTTACTAAATCTAGTGTTATATTCAATGTAGTTGTTTTAATGATTTGCTTAAGATGATATGTGTGTTTTTAGCTTCTTAGTGATTGTCACAAAAAGATAAGTAACACCTACCCTGTACAGCCTAACATGTATGGCTGTATATGATGGCACTGTTATTTTGTAAAAATATTTCATTTCGTTAATAGTGCTACTATCCATTTACAAGGGGAAATGCATATTAACAATAACTTGTGGAAATAATAGATTATTAACTCAGAAAATGTTTATGTATAACATAGCCTAGAACATGTATTAACATATACTCCCTCCATCTGGAGATATGGTTACACAATTAACTGGGCACATTTCTAATAAAGGTGAAAGTGTGTGGTTGTGTTTTTTGCAGAGCAGAGAAAGTGTGTGAACCACACAATTCCTTCCAAATAATGAAATAGGAACCTTTTTCTAGGACAAAAAAAGACATTTGGAACCTTTTAATGGGACATAGGGGTAATTATTTGAATATAGCACCGTCCAAATCACTTAATTCAAAACTGTTTAAACTTTAGAACTATATAACTTGACCACCCGTGCATATGCATTTATATCTGTTATCCCCTATCTCAAGGCTCTATTCTCATTTTCATGTCGAGCCGTCCGCAATTTATAAACAAACAAGCTCAACAGTCCGTTGAATGGTGTAATAGAGCTTAACATATGGCAACAAAAAATATACTGAGCGTGCTTATAAAACAACTACAAGCCCAATGCAATCCCAACTCTGCTAGGTTTGGGGTCAAGTCGTATGCAACCATACCTATGTTACAGAGAGACGGTTTATGTTAGGCCCTTAATTCATTTGCGTAAAACTTCATAGAAAGTAAGAAGGGATGTTTAATCTGTCATTTTGATTTAGTCTATTAGTCACTTCAAGCTAAAACATTGTCAATAAGGACACTTTTAGCTTCATTGGCAATGGACTCATGTAAATTACTCCGTATGACTTGGTACAATTCATAGCATACACTTTTTATATCACAAATAAATGTATATGTAGTTTGTACACACAACTCATACCTTAGTATTTTGCCTAACTTGCATACAGCATACACCACGCGTGTTTGTGCGTGTGCGTGGTTATTTTTAGTTACACGAAAACATGTGAATAGTTTAGAAATGAATGTCTTTTTGCAACACTTCAGGAGTTACAAAGAATTAATGGCGAAGTGCAATTCTCTTGGACGAGGAGAAGCACGTACTCTTTGTAAACTTGAGAAAGCCAAAGCCAAGATCCATACACTGAAAGTAAGTTCATGACCTTGTAAATTTGAATGGGCTAGTTTGAACTTTAAAAACACTTATTCGTGCAGCTGTTCACAGGTAAGGGTTCAAGAACTTGAGAGTGCTGCCGAAGCAAAAGAAAATAAAGCATTAAGAACTTTGAGAACTTCTAAGAGGAAAACATTTGAGGAGGATTTATCAGATGCCTTTGGCCAAGAAAACAAATTTATGAGGTGCTCATATAAGGATCAACAAAAGTGTTCCCCCGTGTCAAGGGTAGGTTTGAATCTAGCCAGTAACATGCATACTGATTTACCCCATTCTAGAGAAAAGGAAACAAACAAAGGGAAGGACAATACAGGAAAGGATACAATGGAAGAAACAGTTGCTTGCAATCTCCAAGAAAACCGGGAGTTTTCTTTTTTAAGACAACATAGAGATATATTTGAGATTTCTACTAATGGGGGGAATGAAGGTTTGCATACAAATTTGAAGTCTACAACTGGTAACCAAACAAGTGTCCTTGATTGCCATTTCTCAAACCCCAGTGTGGAGACAATCAGTGGGGTTCAAGTGCCTCAAGAACAAAACAAGGAAGAAATGCCGAGCTCAAGAAGTTCTGATAAGAGCAATAAAAACTTATCACCAGATACAATTGACATCGATGATGATTTGATGATTTTAGATGACACAAGTCCACCTCAAGCATCACTTCACATCAGAAAAGACACTTCACCCCTTCCTGGTGCACCAGGTTTTTCGTCCTGTGCTCATATTTCCTCTAACTGCAGTTCTGTTGATGTTTAGACTCTTTTTTTAATACTCTGCATCTCTTAACCTGAAGCAAACCGACTTGTTATTGTGTGTTTGGAGAAATATTTATATCCCATATTGGTATGAAACCCCAGGAGACCGTTGCTTCTCTGGTGGGTTGATAGGTCCTGATGGAACCAATTGGCATTTAGGGAAATGGTGCAAGAAGGCACAGACCAAGGGCTCATCACCATCGACAACCTCCCCTGTATCTGCTTCTATAGCTGGTAACTTGATTGCTGTTGGAGCAGACGGACGAGGTGGTAGGATCAAAGTTCTTAAGTCCTCAAACCACTTACCCTTGGTGAGCACAAATAGTTCCTTGCTTCTTTTCCTTTATTTCCTCTCTAAATAATGCCACATTATGCATAAACAACAAACCGGTGCACAAAGAGTGAGGGTCGAGGGACGAGTCCCACCATAATGGTGTGATGTAAGCAAACGTTACCTTGTATTTATACAAGTCCCTCGAACCCACGACCTCATTGTCCCACAACGCCTCGTCTGGTAAAAGCTACAAAGTAATGTGTGGTTTTTGCGAGCAGGAAAATAACAGGTTATCAGCCTCAACTAAGAGATCCAAGAATGGGGTGAAAGCAAACAGTGTGCAGTCTCAAGGGTGTTTGCAGATAGATCACTTCTTTAGTAAGGCTGGCTAATAAGTGTATGTATGAAGGCCGCCTGTAAAGCATCTCTTTTCTTTTTACCTATAGGCTTGTCAATCTGTTGGGTCCGGACTCTGGCCCGGACTTGGATCTCATTTGAACCTGGGCTTGGATCCGATAAGAACCCGAACCATTGACAGGACTATTTAGCGGCAAGCAACATGCAATCTTAGGCTTTGGGTTTTGTAGTTTTAGCCTTTAAGGTATATTTTGATGGTTGTATCTCAAAAACGTGAGCAAACCGATACGTTGAAGGAAATATTTTTGTTAAGGCGCTTTGATTATTTAATAAGGTTACCAATTATTGATAATCTTGTCATTTCTTATCATTGTAGTTGCAAAAATGACAGATGATCGTTTCATTAAAAGCAGAACAAGTCAAATTGCATTATTAGTGCATGACCATAATAGTGTGGTTAATGCTTTTTCGTTTTTTTATTAAAGCAAAGTACATTTCAGACCTTTGTGACTCTATGAGAAATAGCATTATTCCCGATTGGTAACCTTTTATTAATGAAATATTTTTGAATATTTTGGTGTATGAACAATACCTGTATATATTCTTGTCCCATTTGAAACGATCTGTTTTGGTTTACGATATTCGATTGAAATTATTTTCAATTTAGTTTTATGAAAATCGAAGTGGAATTTTAAATAATATTTATGTATTTAAAAATTACATCAAAAGTCTTACAAAACAAGTGGTGACATTAATATTTTTTTTATCAAATGACTAACGTAAACAGGAAAATTTATATGAGACAAAAGAATAACTTTAAAACTCAAAGAAAAATTTTACCGTGTTGGAATTAAACCAGCTATATTGTAGGGAACAAAGTGTTTGGCAGCAAAGGGTGGACATTAACATAAGGTTAGTATGTCGGAAATGAAGATGCTTCTTTGGATGAGCGGTTAGATCAAATAACGAATGAAGATATAAAACTAAAGTTGGAGTGACACTAATTGTAAAAAAACATGATGGAAACTTACCTGAGATGATTTGGACATGTGAAGCAAAGACCAATAGAGCATCCAGTGAGAATGCTTGATTAAATGGTGAATAGACATGTGACTAGAGAAAGAGATAGACCTAATAAAACTTGATAAGAAGTGGTCAAGATAGGCCTTCGCGTGAATGATCTCACATGAGATATGATACACATGGGGCAAATGACTTTTTTGATCCATGTAGCCGACCCCACATAGTGGGATAAGGCCTTGTTACTTATTGTTGACTAACAAAAATGGGTAAAAAGGGTGAATACAATTTGAGCATTTCGATAAGAAACATGTAATTTAATTTGGGATAAAAGAAGTAATAATCATTAACACATGTATAAATGAATATTTAAGAAATTTTCATTTGATTAAGATAAGTATTCTTAAAAACAAAGTGAGTGGATTTTTTTTTTTAAAAAAGAAATGACTATTCTTAAGGCTAATGGGTATGGCCTCTTCCCCTTCTCTAATCTCTTCATTTGATCTGATTAATTCTTATTTCATTGGAATAAGTTCTGATTGAGTGTAATTACATTTAAAGTTATTTTTTATTTAATCTAATTTAGATAAGAATAAATAATAAAAATAAATTAATGAAAACAAAACCCTCAGTGTCACGTCAATTTTTCCTTATACTTTCTCTTCCCTTCCCCTTTCAGAGGCGTGATTCCCATTCTCTTCCCCTCTTCCTCCCATTTTTAATATTATTTTGTTAACAATTAATTTATTTTAAATTAATTAAAATAAAAACATAAAATACAATTAAATAGTACGGAGTACTAATTTTAAAAACTGAAAAAAAATTAAAGAGGAAATTTAAAAACCTAAAACTGAAAAAAGTTATAAAAAATATAGTAAAAATTAGAAAATAAAAATTGAAAAAAAATAAAAATGAAGAAGGAAAATAGTAAAACTGATTAGTAAACAGACAACTTGAATTGAATAATAACAATAGTAATAATAAAAGAAGGACAAAAGAAAGTCTCTCTAGAGTAAGTTGTTGGATATTTTAGGGTATCCCAGAGTATATTTATTTAAAAGATCAGACCTAGATATATATTTATTTGTAGATTAATGATAATCCACACAAAAGGTGGCCAACTAAAAATCATAGCATTGGTCACAATCAATGTTCTGAAAACCAGACCAGACATCGACCCGAACGAGGTATTGGGTCAAGGGTTGATCGGTCGAACCGGTCAAATCAAGAGTCAACGTTGCGGTCAATGATGTTTATAATAATAATATTTTATATTATATATTAGATATTTTTAGTCAATAAAAATGTTTTAATTTATTTTTTTATTTTTCTATCTAGTTTTAAATATCAATGTGCACATACTGTTTCACACCTATATTTATTCTATTATTATTAAAAATTAATAATGAATGTCTACTAAATACTAAAATAATAAGGCAATACCCATATTTTTATAAAGACTAAATAATGTGTTCTTACATGACATTTTAAACTTTACATTTAGTTGAATAAAATGATTGAAAAAATAAAAAATGTACGAAGTAGCATATTAAATTATAATTAGTAAACATTACTTGATTTTTAAAAAGAGCAATAATTTTTCAAGTATAAAATCTATGGAGTATATTTATTTTTGAATTAAATTTAATTCTCAAATTTCTTAAAACTATTTTAAAAGTTCATAAAGTGAATAAGATAGAAATGCACACTGCAAATAAACTTACGGGCTATAGTCTGTAATTGGTTTATTTTGTATGCCAAAAGCGTAAAATAGTACACTAAATACTCAATATATAACATTGATGCCTACACATTACAATATAAAATGCTTGGCTCACTTGGCTTATAGCTATTGCGGTAAAAACAATGGGGTTGAATTTTCCACCTCTGTTTTCAAATTTTAAACATTTATTAAAATTTAATAAAAAGTAGGTTTTCACTCAAACTTGTGAACGGGCCAAATCAACCCAGGTCATCTGAACTCTTTTTAGAAGAGAAAAAAATCCTATATTTCCACAAAATATAAGATTTCAAATGCCAACTCAAAGCACCAGTGTGTAAAAATACCCATAGCAGATATAAACTTCAAAGTTCAAGAAGGGGAATTGTGACAACTACTTGGTTCTGTTTTTACATAACAAATAACAGTACAAACAGAATAAATCCAAAGCACCATTTTCACTTGAAAGCCAAATATTCTTACAAAATGTCCACTGCAATGGTTGTCCATGAGACATTTCCATCTCTTTTTTTACAGCACGTAACGGTCATGTTGTTACCCCATCGCGTACTTCTGGGTCCAGCTCCTGGCAGTCGTTTCGTACTTGGCCCTGTCCGTCTTGTACATGTGGGCGATCTCCGGGACCAACGGGTCGTCCGGGTTTGGATCGGTTAAGAGTGAGCAAATTGAAAGCAAAACCTGAGAGAAGCAAAGACCAAAGGAACCTTTCCCACATTCAGAAGAAACTCTTTAACCATAAGAATATAGTTGTAATTCTGAAGAAATTGTAAGCCTACACACGCTCCAAACGTCTGTAAAATTTAAAATTTGGTATAGATAATAATATTGTGTGCCTGGTTGAAGACTCACATCCCCTCCATCATTTAGAAGGCTATGATAATACGACCACCATTAGTTTCTAACCCCCCCCCCTCAACCACATCAACCACAACTCCACCATCACCGCCCTTAACGCACCTCACGTGCTCCAGGTCTCGCACCTTTGCCTCCCGCAACTTAGCTAGCCGAAACAACCTCTTATCTTCTCCGTTGGCTTCCATGTCCTTATACAGACTTCCAAAAGCAGCATATTTAGTCATTGAAACGGCCAACTTAGCTTCTTTACGGGCAATCTTATATTCCTCCCCTATCCCCCTAGCTTCCTCATTTCTACACTTCATGAGCCCTTCATAAGTTATTTTCTTGGCTTTAACTTTTCCTGCAACTACACCGTTCCACCACTAGTCCTCCTTATGAAGGTTCTTGTTACCCTTGGCTATGCCTAACACCTCTCGAGCAACTTTTTAAATGACAAGAGCAATATTTGATATAATGTTGGATAATGACCTGTTATAAAACTCACAGCTTGATAAGTTTTTATGATGAATACACTATTTAATAGAGAAATGATACGCCTAAACTCAATTGGGTTTCTATATACTATACAACAACAAACAACAACATTACCCCAATGCATCAACGGCTCCTGCCAACGGTTTCTATATACTACGTAGTATATTTCAACAAATAACAACTTCCATTATTTCTAAGTGAAGTAGTGAGCAATCATAAAAGGCCTTAAACCTTAGTGAAAACATGCCTAATACTAAAGCAATGAACTCAAATAAGACCAAGAATCTGAATCTTATCTACTCTACAATGATATCATTTGGAAAATGTAAATCTCATATAGTTTAAAATAATAGTCCCTCCATCCTATAATTTCGTTCCTTCTTTCTTCTTTGGACTGTCCAAAAAATTTGTTCCACCTCCACTAACAAGAAAATATTTTGTGGTTAAAATGGTTCCTCTCTAAATAAATTTCAACCACATAATTTTCACTTCAATAAAAAGAGAGCCAAGTCAAAATAGAAACATAATTATGTGACGGATGGAGTAACAGTAACCATTTTGGAACACAGATTTGGTTGAGTTCATTTTTAGGCATCACAATAATCAGCATTATTTCAAAAACTAAGACCTTGGAAATTGTCAAGGCAGGGCTCCACTGCTCTTTCAAGATGTCAAGGCAGATGCTACCATTGCTATTGATATTTGGATGAAAAACTTTTGTCCTAAAAGCCACCTGCAAGGTGTTTATACACATGTAACTAAAATATGAAAAACTAGAAGCGAAAAATAAAATGTGTGATATTGAATGCAAAAACAAAAACAAACTAAGCAATATCAATCATTTGTAGGTTCCACATTGCCAAATGACTATTTTCATTCGGAAAACACTACACACTCAAAAATTCTTTTTATATCATTTACCATTTTCAAGTTATGTGTGTTCCCAAAAAAGCAGTGCTGCACTCATTTCTCCGTGTAAAAATAGTATTTTCTTCTTATTTATTTTACTTTGTTCTATGTTCACATCATAAGTGAGAGACATGAAATTTTTCAGTTTATCTAAATACTAGAGGAAACAATGTAGCAGATTAGTCCAAATATAGCATTCTACATCATGTACCTTTGGAGGCTTAAAGGGATAATCAGGGGGGAAATGAATAGTAACCAGAAACACCCCCCCTGCATAAGGACTGTCAGGGGGACCCATTATAGTCGCTTGCCAATGAAACATGTCTTCACCAACGGGTCCTGTTCA